GATGCAGGGAGAAAGGGAGTGTGACATCATGACAGCATGCAGATGGTAAGGATCGCGGACGACTTGCAACGCCTGTAGTCCGTCCACATGACTTGTTTTGGGGGATTTTGAGGGGGCTATGACATCAGTGATGTGACGGATTTTGTTGTTTCTTTTATTTATTTAGTCAAGCATTTTTGTGAGAAGCGGTCGCCGCCATGCTTCTGATTTCTGGAGAGCCCATGACCATGGCAATGCATACGTAGTAAAGCAACGAATGGCGAATATTATATGACGAGAAGGTATTTCCAATGATTGACCTTTCGTAGATACAGTATTATATTCAAGTTATTATCATTCAAGATAAGGTTTGTATGAAAACGAGTCAGCCAGCAAAGGCAGATGATGTCTCCAGGAAACATAGACTAGTTAACTGAAGAACGGTGACCACAGCATGGTATTCGATGCTAATACTGCTGTTCTCCGTTATATGTCCTCTCTTCTCTCGCTTCTCTCACATTCCCCGCTTTCCAACATCAATAGGCAAGCAGGAGTTGCTAAAAGCGGTTAGAAAAAGGTAATATAACCCATAAATAGCCATCCATGGGACAACAAGTAGTAGCTAAACTGGCGCCCATTTCTCGTGCTTGACGGGTTGTGCAACGCTGGAGATCCTTCGGCGAACTGGGTGCTTCAGGAGAGATAACAGCTCGGGCCCAGGGGTTGATTTTTGTGCCTCGGCGGTAAGTTAAAAACTATTAGGTTGCTTGGACCCTGCATGACCAGGACATGGAAGAACCCCACCCGACGTGAAAGGAGCAGCGAACACAGACCCGATCGAAGCGGGAACAGGCATTCTTAAATTGAGTGACAGACTTGCTGAAGATGGATGCAGTTTATGTCAGTGCTCGATTTTCCTAGGATGCGCAAGATGCGGCAAGATAGACTGGGGGCGGTGTTTACTGGAGCTTTGTTCAGCTACTGCGTATTAAAATCATTCTTTTTAAAACATTGCTCGTAAACAGAACACATATAAGGAGTAGTTAGTTATACATAACTAGCATAGACTCTTGGTCAATTCAGCAGCCCCTTTTATCAATGGTACGCATTTCGGCGGGTGAAGCGCTAGACTGAAACTTTGACTTTCTTTGGTTGAGGCCCTGTTCGTTCCCTTTTTTTTTCTTTTTTGATTCGGTTTGTGGCCCTTGACATGCTATCATCGTCCGTCGGGCGTTCTTTGGTACCGGGCCAGACATAACATTTTCTGGGGTTTTTGTTTAGCCTTTTTTTTTCTTTTAATCTTTTTTTAGTATTCTCCCTAGCCCAAGCCTAACCGCCCTGGAATTACACAGTTCACGTAAAATTTTTGCCATCGACATTGGTGCTGCTTCATCGTGATTCGTCCTGTGGATTTTGAGTGTCTTGTATCCTCGATGGTGCTAAATTTCCTGGGCACACTACCTCACTACCCCACAGATCCGCTTGTTTGCTGCACCGGTGGGCTTACTATTTGGGTTACCCAAAATGGCGGCGGGCGTGAAACCCCTGCTGCAGCGCTGCCCCTCTCCCGTCCTGGCGCTTGGTTGTGAAATAGGAATAACTCATAAGGGTCGCCCGTTTTCTCTACAGCGATTCCTCGCACCATCACTGAACCATTTGTTTGGCCTTTTCATCACAACTTCTACCCACTATCATTACCAGCTATTATACTCCGTACTCGACACTCTATTCACCCATCCATCGAGTCATCTGTGGAGCAACCTCATTGAATCTTGCCAGCCAGTTGTCGCCTCACTTTGCACATTCACCTTCAAGAAACGGGTCATTCCCTCCCCGTAAAGGCTGCTACCTCCTACAGGTTGGAGGCGTCATGCTCAGGGACTCCTCGGCCACCTACATATACTCTTCGACTGCTCTCCAAACTATGTCTCCCTCTCTACGACCCAAGTCTCCTCCTCCCTCCCGCAACAGAGCCCGCATGTCTCCCAAACCCAACCACTCCATCCAGTTAGCAAACCTCCCACGTTTCCACCCAGCCGTCTATCAATCCACATCGAACACCCTTGCCAACCAACCACCCTCCCCGCTCCAACAGCGGCCCGCACAGTCATACAGAATACCATCAGGTTCCAGGGATGCCCTGCGCCAATACCGTGACCTCGTCGCAGGTGTGACACTCACACCACGCGGCTCCTCGACAACGAGCAGCAGCATGAAGCCTTCAAAGCCGCGACTTGATCCGCTGGGTAGCCCCGGCCCCGTGACGCCCTTGGCGCTAGAGGAAAATGAGGGTGGATATTTCGTCGCTGGGGCTTCCAGGTCGCCGCCGCCAGACTCCAATACGAGCAATCATAATAATAGCCCTGTGTCGCCACGGGAACTGGTCGAGAAGCTCATCCAGCGGGAGGCTGAGAAGTTAGGGTCTCAAGGCTTGTCGAGGAAGGAGAACCAGAGTCGATGAGAATTCCACTTCGGTTCCTTTGACTGGCATACATCTTCATGCATCACGACGCGCCTTGACTTTTGTTTACTTTGCTCTAAATGCTTCATCTTCTAAGCATTTATTCTATCAGTGTAGTTTACCTCCTCAGCACGGGTGAACTAAAATACCCCTTCTGACTACTGAACACTTTTGTCCCTTGCAAGCGAAAATCAACAACAATAGCAAACAGCTATGGAACAACAGATACCAATCCAATTGACCTCACCCCATTCAACCTGCATGCATTTTTGATTCTTTCCTACTTTGTTCATTTGTTTCTCAACATGCTATTACCCTCCCAAATTGCACCTTGCCCCATGTTTTATCTGAAAAGTGTCATCAAGCAGCTGACAAAAAATAGAACCAACAACCCGAAACCAAAGAAAGGCGAAAGCATGGGGATAGATACACAGGAGCATGGCACTAAGTTCTTTTTCTTTCTTTTTTGTTTGTTCTGCATGTATACCATAACCTATTTTTTTTTTGTTTTCTATTTATCGTTTTATTTCCATTTGAACCTATCTTCACCTTTCTCTCAGATACAAAATCTACTGATCCTCGACAGATCGCGGAAAGAAGTGTAGTGCAAACCAATCTAAGATTGGGTCTGTTCGTCTCTCAGCCCCCACCTCCGTCTCTCTCTAGCCTCAGTTCATCAATCGATTGATCGTCCAAACCTGCGCAGTATGTCTATATCCACTTTATGAAATATTTCCCACTTGCCTTCTGCTGTGTGTTGCAATTATTTCTTTCCTTTTCTCTTTCCTCTTTTAGTTTTTCTTTTTCCCTCTCCTGCATCGTCTGCATTCCGTGTGTATATATATACCCAATGATTTGTCCCCCTTGTTTTATTTTTTATTTTAGTTTATTTTTTTAACCCCTTTAGTTAAACCTGGCAAATCATCATATGATAATATGATATCATCAAATGATTACCAGTGACCCACCATCCATATCCGATTCTATCCCTATCCGCTTCATGGTATTGGAGCATATAACCTGCCACTTCACCCACTGGTTGGCCTGAAACTCTCTTCTCCACAAACCAACTTCTCCACAATAATCTGGTTAATAAGCTTACCACAAAAACTTTATCAAACCATGATCTCTCAAATCATTTTACACCTCAACACTAATTTAAAAACCATCTAAGACAAACAAGTCAAACACAAGCTAGTCCCTCACAAAAGCACAAAGTGATAAAGTTCACAGAAGTTAGTTAACCAACTAGAGAACTATGATTGATTAGGGGCCTCCCCCATCCTGCAACAACCACACACGGCAAAGCGGTAAATAAAGACCCTGAAGAAAAAGAGAGGAGGGATGAAATATTTTTCAAAATAAAACCCGAGAATCAAAACAATATATTGTTTTGTTTTGACTGCCCATATATTGTCTGCGGACAGAAACTTAACCACAGCAGGGCGGCGTGGCGCGTGGCACGCAACCCGTGGCCCGTGTCTGGTGTGTGGAGTCAGAAGCGGACCAAACGGGCGGAGAAATGCTCCTTTCATTTCGTCATAAGCGGCGCCCACATTCACCCCACAGCTCACTAGTCGAGTGCAGCGCGAACCGAGGCCAAAATCAGCGCCGTTGCTTGGGGCAAAACAAAAAAAAAAAAAAAAAATGAAGGAAAAAAAGAAACAAAGAAAGAAAAGCAAAAAAAAAAGTGTAAAGAATAAAAGCAAAGTAAGAAATAAACAAAAAAAAGAGACCCTTTCTTGCCCCCGGCCAGGATCGAACTGGCGACCTTGAGATTGCTTAAGCAGTTTTGTTTGCTACCTATCATATTTTATAACCTTTCCTTTTTAAGGAGCAGATCAATATGAGACTCACGTGATAACCAACTACACCACCTGGGCACAGAGGCGGGAAGGAGTTGATTTCAAGCTGACATCGGCGGGATTGGATTGGGTGGTTCGTGTGAGTTGCTGGCTCTCTCTCTCTTTTTAATCGTTTTGTTTTGTCAATTTGCTTGTATTTTGAAAAGCGAATGATTTGTTCTTTATCTTTATATTTATCCTTGAATTTCTTTCTTTCTTTCTTTATTCTTTCTTTTATTGTTACTTGATTTGATTGCCTCAGTTGGCGATTTCCGTTGTGGAGTCAGACCGAAAGCTGAACACATTATCGTATTTTCTCGGCGGAAATCTACTATATCCGAACCAGAAACTTTGCCCAGCACTTATATAAAGATGGATAACTAGTTAGTTAGTCAATCCAATTATTCAAAATCAAAGAATATGCCTTATCAGGCTTGGACCCAATTATTTGTAAATGGATTGACGAAAGTCCACGACTATGTGTGTGAACACTTAGGTGTGCAGAGCGGGTTAAACTTCAAGAACTTGCTGCGGACAATGTAACGTCATTTTACTTCTCTCCTTGGAACGTTTGGCGATACAATACACATTTCAATAGCGATTGCTGAAATTGAGTGTCACTGTAGGCGGAGAAATGATATCATGTGTAACATTCCGATAAGAAAGGAGAGGAATACAAGTGGGAGACATGGTGGGATGCAGACGAGAGCATATATCTCAAGATTTATTAACCATGTCAATCACAGAAGGAAACATGAAAAAATAAGGTAAGAGGGAGACAGTGGCCATTGAGTATATTCACTTTTGCGGATTCCCACTATATTTCAATATCGTGAAGTCGAACCCCTCCTGTTGGGAGTCAAGTTTGACACAAAACACAGGTATCACGTCAACTGCCCTGGCGGATTCCGAGGGGTCACATCATTTCATCCACGCTGAATTTACCCTACCAAGTGAATTGGCACTAATTATTTATCACTTCTCATACTTTTCCTATCGCTTGCTATCTAACTTCCTCATTGCTGATGGCGGAAAATCTACATTAAAACATACCCACATCGTCAATTTCAGAGGTTTTCAAGAGAGAAATAATAGACTAAAGGTAGTCCTAAACATGTCCATCTTGTCCAAGATACCACCCCTGGGGAGTCAATGATTGTTTTTGAGTAGGGGACCATCTCGCTCTGAAGGATTTGCCGCTTAAGAAAAAGAGTATCTTCAAAGACGATAATCATGGAATTGAACAACTCCATGATCATGATATTGCTCAAATAGGTAGGCTTCATATTTCGTAGAGCAGTGAGGGGAAATCTATTCGGGGTGGTTATCCAAGCAGGTTTTATCAACTCCAAACGTGACCAAGATGGAATTATTACCGAGTGAGAATAGCTTTGGATTCTTGGAGTTACTGCACACATCCCTCCTGGATCACATATGATTTAAAAACAGGCCGGGAATCATGAAACACATGCTCAAGGACTCATTGTGGTGAATTTCTTTGCTACCTGAGTTTTTGGATTGGTGTATTTATGCAATGCAGAAACGCATCATATCCGCCGCCAAGGAAGATAGATTGGAGGCAGGCATGGATCTTTTGGATATTGTAATTCAGTGCCAAATCTGATAATTTACGAATGAAGATTGGACTGAATAGGGTTTTGAAATATCTCAATGATAACCCTGTGGTCCGCGTCTTTGAAGTATTCACAAAAACAGCCCGCGCAGACCATTCATTCTTTTTGGAAAAATATAGCAGACGACTTCAAATCTCTTTATCTGTTTAATATCAATTTTTAATATGGAAAAGCGGATCACTGTTTATGAGGTGTTAGCGCATAAGTTGTTTGAAAGTAGTTTGAGATAGAGGGAGAACATACATTTCAACCCATCATCCTCAAGGGCTGCCATCGTGTCGCTATCCAAGTTTTGTGGGAGCATATCACGAACAAAGAGCAGGTTCTTGTTACGAATGGCTTGTGACTATATCATTCGATATATTTCATTGTGTTCGTGGACTCATTGTGGCTGTGGCTCTTCTTTTTCTCCTTTTTTTTTCTCCTTTTACATTCGTTTTTAAAGGGCTGACAACCCTATATCCATTTTATAATAGAATTATCAATCATGGAAGTTGTAACTGGTTTGTCACGTCCACCATATTCAAATATCACGTGAGGCCGATCACGGACCCGCTGGCTATTTTTTTAAGAAATCAACCACGAATGCGTCAGCAATGCCGTTATGGATAAGTTACATAAATAATTTCAATATAATTTTCAGACAAAAGAGGATCAGTTAATCATCTTAGCTTACAGCCAAGGGAAAGGAAGTTTGGAGAGCGTGCAAGCATCGATGTTCTTGCAAACCAGACTAGTGTCCAGTTCTACAGTAATAATCTCCCGGAAGCAAAAATATTTTCTCCTTCCCACCAGATCCTGTGGGAGCTGTACGCTGAAATTCTGATTTGATATTCGGGGAATGGGAAACCAAGAAGGGAATGGAATTCGTGGAATCAAGTCAAAGGGGAACAGAAAGGAATACAAGGGATTTGTGGCAGGAGTGTTCTCTGGCATTGCCAAGTTGGGTGGTGAGTTTGACTCCTTTTTTGTCATTATCCCTGCTTCAATATCCCATTTCTTTGTTTCCTGTGAAAAGTCAATATATCCTGCGGGGACATAGGGCAGATGTCTTTATTATGGTGCTAGATATAGGTTTTGGCTTTATAGAATAACTGCTGTTTATATTTAATTTAAAATGGGATCATGGAAATAGCTGACGAGGTTACCCTGACCTTACGTCGGATGATTTATAGTGGGACATCCGTATGTGATATAATTTCTACCTGACTTTGGGTTTTCCTTCTTGCACGCTCTAGGCATGCATCACTTACCATTGGTCAACAGCTTTGACACCATCAAGGTTCGTCTTCAAACAACGAAATCTTCACATTTCAGCGGCCCTCTAGATTGTCTACTTCAGACTGTGCGAAATGAAGGGCCAAGGGCCTTGTATAAAGGTGCAACACCACCCTTGATGGGGTGGATGGTCATGGATTCGATGTTAGTCATTGAAATTGATTACCCATCTCGTTCCGCACAGCATTCTTCTAATTTCAACATAGCATGCTTGGGTCATTGACGCTCTATCGCCATTTCTTGTTCAAAAATGTCTTTTCAAACAAACAACTACGACGACTAATACCGTTTGCTTCGGACAAAATCCCAGATCGACTATCCAGCTTTGGCCATGGCATCGCTGGAATTATGGCGGGCTCAACAGTGAGCTTTATAGCAGCACCCGTTGAGCATGTGAAAGCACGATTACAGATCCAGTATGCAGCTGATAAGAGGCAACGGCTATATAGCGGTCCGATCGACTGTATGAAAAAAAATTGTATGTACTTTGAATAGTCTTGTTCATATTATTTTTGCTTTCTTTAACAAATATCAAGGTCTAATCCTCCCATTAATCTCTCGTTCGTTCTCACAGTTTCGCGAACATGGCATCGCTGGAATTTATCGCGGTCTCGGTGCCACTTTGATCTTTCGCTCATTTTTCTTCTTCTGGTGGGGAACTTACGATATTTTCTCGCGATTAATGAAGCAGCATACTCGACTATCCACTCCCGCCATTAACTTTTGGGCGGGTGGGTTGTCAGCGCAAGTGTTTTGGCTCACATCATACCCCTCTGATGTCGTGAAGCAACGGATTATGACGGATCCGTTGGGTGGGAAGCTGGGTGATGGCGAAAGGAGGTTTCTACGGTGGAGGGATGCCGCCGTGGCTGTCGCGAAAGAAAGCGGGTGGAGAGGATACTGGCGCGGATTCTTGCCGTGTTTCTTGAGGGCATTCCCAGCAAATGCAACGGCGTTGGTGGCTTTTGAGGGAGTGATGAGATATATAGGATAGAATTCCCTTATTGTGGATTTATTTCGATCATTTTGCATTTTGGCGATAGATTGAATGCTGGATAGAACAGATACTGTGATACCTTGTATAAATAATAAATGTGTGTGGGCACATAATAAAAATAAGAACCATACAAGTAGTTAGATGTTGACAAGTCTTTCTGAAGTAAAAGTTTCCTTCACGTTAGTCACTGACAGATTGTCCACCAGCCTGTAGATTTAATGGGCCGTTCCATTCCACCTGGGATTTTACCGTTCAGCTCAAAATCCTATCTACTAGTGAAATGGGAATTGGGGTTTGCGCGCTTTTGGCGGCGCGAGAACAGGAGCAGCTGGATCACTCAGTAGAAAACCACAAGATCAATTCATACAATATCTAACAATCTATCTCGAATAACATGAAGGACAACATGTAGGAGGATCAACTAAGAAGAAAAGAAAAACTGTTATACAACCAAAGATATAAGGAATCGCATGTGTGAACAACGCTCTCGTATATATATATATATCGTCGTGTGTGTTGGTTGTTCCCATCGTTCGCCCCTTCGCATTAGGAAAGGGCCTAGATATGCAGGAGAATGCCCCGGTGAAAAATTTACCCGTGCCGGATTTCCACCACACTGACCACATGAACCATCCATCATCCTCCACATATATATATGTCCACCACCTTCGCAACATGAGGTTATTCGGACATGGAATGACAACATATAAGCGTACCGTTGCACGATAATCCATAATACTCTGCAGTCGTGTTATTTTCTGTGCCGGATTCGGCCCGGCTTCCTGATATCAGTATGGATGAGAGTACCCCCGCCGTGGTCAACCGCGAAGACCCCGGTCCTGTCATTTCAGTCTCATCGCATTCAGTCGAGAACAGTCCTAGTGCAACTGGAGATAAGACTAGCCATGATTCTGTCGGATCCGGGCTCTCAGCTCGGCGACTGAAAAATAAGTTCAAAGGCATGAAGTCCGAGGCTAAAGCACTGAACGATTGGGCAACTGGATCCTCATTGCAGGAATTGTTGTTAACAAAGTATGGACCTGACATACTACCGCGTATCTACTTACCACTGAAACTAGCTAACAACAGTCAGATTATGGGAGCAGGTTATACCCGTTGAAGATCGGGGAGAAGAGGCCGATTTTCTGACCAACCAACCCTCCGCTATAAACATCGGCCGACCTGCATTCAGCCTTCCTGCAATGAGCAACAACTTTCGACGTTTTAATGCTAGGCATGATAACCCTTTTTCTTTCTGACTTGCTAGTATATATGCTCCCGGTTTGCTAATTATCTTGTAGAATCGGGATTGTATTTTCTTTCCAAGAGCGTGTGATTAACGTCCTGAGCTGGCAAACTCAACGCACACCTTGTCTTTCCTATCTGTCTATTCGTTCATATGTCTAAATCCATATTTACTTATAATTCTCCCATTTGCTGTATTTTTACTTTTCATTATGGTGCCGGGATTTCTTGCTCGTCACCCACCTCCGCCCGTCTCCGCATCAACCTCCAGCCCCACCGCATACTACTCGTATGAAGGGCCTGCTCTTGCTCCAGCGCAGACCATCAAACCCGCCTCAGAAACTTCAAAGGACTTCTTCCGCAATATGCGAGACCTCCAGAATAGTATGGCAGATTTTGCGAACCTGCACGATGCCACCGTGTCGTTGTTATCTCCGGCTACGAATTTTTCTAACGAAATATTATCATCCACGCTTTTTCTTATACTCACCGTTCTATCTGCTATTTTGTTTCTAACCGTTCATCTTATCCCATGGCGCACGTTGTGCCTGATTGGTGGGAACGCCGCTATTCTCGGAAGCAATCCTAGTGTTGCAGCTTTTATGCAACAAATAAGGAGTCAAATGAAAGAAGCAGCCACTGAATTCCAGAATACGACCGATGATGACTTCTACATCATTTTGGGAATCCCGATTCCATCATCACCATCAGCACTCCTTACATTTCTTAAATCCGCTGCTGCAATTTCCCTTGATACGTACCCTGAGGAGCGAGAAGTGGAAATTTTTGAGCTCCAGCACAAATCGCTGTCGCCATACTCAGCAGCTTCTGAATGGGCATCGTTCGTTTTCACCCCCACGCCCTATGATCCGTTATCTCCATCTCGTATCGCAGGCGATCGACCAAGGGGTACTCGATTTTTCGAGGATGTCAAGCCCCCGCCAGGCTGGAAGTGGAAGGGCAAGAAGTGGCAGCTAGACCTCGAATGTCGCGAGTGGGTGATAGAGCGGATGATTACGGGTGTCGGATTTGAGGTTCCGGGCTACTCCAGCGGCGATGCAGTATCCGAAGAAGTGGGAGGCTGGGTCTGGGATTTACCATTCCATCCTCCTGATGAGGATGCATATAACGATGATGTCTTGGTGTATGGGGACAATCGTGAAACAAAGGGAAAAGCCAAGGCTGAACAGGAAGAATCCAAAGGGAAGTTAGCTAAGGGGAACATTGAAGAGAGCCTCACAAAGATTGAGGGTACGGGAGAATGGAGGAGGCGGAGATGGGTTAGAGTTGTGCAGCGTGCCAGTGTCGATGACAGCGGTTCTGCATAACTATCATTCACCTATTTTATGTGATGTCCAGTATACGAATTGCACCTGATGATGTCACGTTTACGAATCAACTGAGTTTTATGTTGAACAATTTTCACAGCTTCTTGCAATCATTATTTACATTATTTATGACAAAGAAGAGCATTAAGTGGGCATTGACAACGAGCGTGTGCAATCGTCCAACATGTACTGATTAGCGTGGATCCATTGATCCAATCTGAAACGTCATTGCCAGGATAGCTATCAGAAGCTCAGAAGGTTGCCCAGGCAAAATTATCCGCAAATCCACCACCAAGAATATCACTGATTTTAAAAAAGATTTATTGCACAATTGATTATTTTGAAGATGTTAGCAGCCTCATACCTAGGAGTTGCGAGGGACGAATTGCAAAACACGTGACCCAGGGGTAGCCTGTGTTGGGCACTAGTTGCCCAGGCGGCCCTCCACCGCACGTGATTACCCCTATATATAGTTAGCTAGCGATCGCACAATGAGAAGATCAACCATCCCACAGGTTATGGCCCGGATTGCAGATTTTTAAGAAAAACAGACGTTTTGATTAGAATACGCTGCGACTGATGTTATATTGGATGAGTTAAACATTATTCCCCTGAAAAGAGAGCTCTTTGCCTATAAAAGTGGTGTAATTGACGGAATTGCTGTCGAGACTGCTGCAGAGATTTCATTACTATCTTGAAGGGATCAAAAACTTATTTATTTATTTTCATTCAGAACCTCCCTAAGTCAGATTGATTATGAGTGGTTCTCGATTACCTGCGACCCCAATATCAGGACGTAAGAAGACACTACGTTCGCAATCAAGGGTCCCCCAATCCTTCCCCCCTATTACTGAGCAAGAATCCGGCTCAGAAGCGGAGGGTGATCAAACTGAATACGCGATGGCAGAGGAAGATATGACAACCTCTGGCTCCGCACACGATACTGGCAAGATGCCAGAACGCGAGGAATCCGAGGATGGCACGCCCAGTCCTATGCCGATACCTACGCCGAATCCTAACGGCATGGTGACCATGGCAGCAGCAGATCTCATTGCACTCTGCGAGCGACTGATATCAGCACGCGCGCCGCCACCTCCTCCACCTCCTCCACCACCTCCACCTCCTCCGAACCCTATACCAGAAGAAGATCCGAACATGCTGGCTCGCGAATACCAGAAGGAAGCGCAGGCCTCGTTGAACACAAAGTCCGTCACCACGTTCGATGGCACCAACTACCAGACGTGGAAGATGGCGTTCTTGTCGGATGCAGAAGTGATCGGTGGTGCAAATATTCTTAATAAGAACCAACAGGAACCACCTGAAGGTTTATCATCGCTCGATCAGCGATATTGGGTGATACGTTCAAAACTTCTCTTCCGTCGCATGTTGCAATCCCTAGTAGGTTCTGTCCGTTTGACCATGGGATCCATTCAACCCGACAACGCGGCGGCCCTATGGAACAAGGTAAGCGCAGTATACGCGATATCCCTAGGGGAAGAAAGGATTAACATCCTTAAAGAATTTACCCACTTGCATGTCAAGGACGGTGATTACCTGGCGTACGTACGCCGATATCAATACCTGTCTGCTCGCATGCGACAACTAACGGAGGACCGTGGTGAGAACTACCTCCATGATTTCTTTATTATCGGCCTCCGAGATTATCAGAGGACCTATGTTAAATCACGCCTCGATACGTTCTACGGGACGGGTCAGGGTCCGATTGTCAACCTAGATATCAACGATCTCACAAAACAAATTGCTCACCGGATGAGTAAATCAGAGGGTACTGGACGCCCTAAAGCTCCAAAGGCCAACGCGGCCACCAATGATAATGACAACACAACTTCCGCCGCAACCGCAAAGTGCGGATACTGCAAGGTCCCAGGGCATATAAAGGCTAATTGCTATCATCTGAACCCTGACAAAGCACCCGAGTGGTGGAGGAAAGAGAATAAGGATAATAAGGGCACTGACAACACTGAAGGTGCCAAAAAGAAGGGAAAGGATAAGAAGAAGGACAAGGATGACGACAAACCTACTGGCACCAGAGCGCCAGATCTCCTTGCATCGCAACCTAATGCCAACGCAGCAATTGCTTTATCTACGTCGTCCGCTACAACATCCAAACCTTGGTATCTCGACACCTGCGCAAGCTTCAATATGACGGGTGAAAGGCACTCGTTGGTGCGCGCAAAGTCGTTCGAAGGTGATTTAGAAATTACTACCGCGGACGGTGGCGTAGGACGGGTTGAGGAGATAGGTGATATCCTTCTAGAATCAGAAGGGGGGGATATCTCAGTGGGTTACGTCCACTGGATCCCCAATCTAACAGTCAACCTTCTATCCTTTGCGAAGCTAGAAGATCAAGGCTTCAGATACCAACTATCAGATACCACCCCTTCCTATTTTACAATAAGGGCCCCGAACGGTGCCAACTTCACCGCTGTTCGCACGTCCAAAGAATCGGTCTACAAGATAATAGAACGAGAATCTCAAATAGACGTCCATCACCCGTCCCAGGCCGTCCATTTTATGGCCAAATCTTACAATTACGGGGACGCAATGTCGACAATCGCGGGGAAACCTAACGATCAACCTAGCGATCGCAACCCCCTGACAAGAACACTCATGGAATGGCACGTCACACTAGGGCATATCCACGCTGGCGCGATCATTGCACTAGCGAAGGACCCATCATCCGGCATCCGCATCAAAGGATCTAAAACAGGCTTCTTCTGCGATAGCTGCGTCAAAGCAGGCATGACACGCAAGTTCTCGCAAACTCCCATGCCACGAGCGTTGCGAGCAATGCAACGTGTTCATATCGACCTTGCTGGCGGTGGTCGTACGCTGGATGACATGTCCGATTACCCTATCGAATCTCGTCAAGGGACCAAATATTATATGCTCATCACCGATGACGCCACCCGCTACAGGTGGATCTATTTTTTACATACCAAGGACCAAGCTGTCGAAATTTACGCTCACTGGGTCCAATTCATGAAAAATCTCGGCTTCACGCCACCGGCGCTAGTTAGGACTGATATCGATGGTGTCTTTCGATCTAACAAGATGACAACAATGATGACCAAAGATGGCACTATCTGGGAACCTACTACGCCCCAATCTCCCCACCAAGATGGTGTTTCTGAGAGAGGAATCCGTACGATAATGACACGCGCAAGGGCAGTGCTTTTAGGCATGAATATACCGAAGAAGTTCTGGGCAGACGTTCTCGAAACGGTGGTTGCAATTACCAACAACACACCAACATCTACCACCCTGTATAATGAGAAATACTGGCCTACCAACAACGCCGACGAAGCACCTGCGCGATGCCCCTATACGGTCCCATTCTCAGCACTAACCAACGCCCCGCCCCAACTTCGCCATTTTAGGGAGCTAGGTGTTGATGTTTACGCGCACCTTCATGGATCTCAAAAACCTACTGACAAGCTGTCCGCTAGGGCAGAAATTTTTAAACTTATAGGATTCCGTGGTAACTCAATCTACCGCCTCTGGAGTCCTACAACTGATAAAATAATTGTCACCAGTGATGTCGTTTTCCCTGCAAAGGAACCTACAACCTCGCAGGATGACACTAACCACACGACACCCGAACCTGCAAGTCCAGCGACTTATCTTGTTGATGATACTACCGTTCCTGAATTAGCTGACGCCGAATGGGTAAGACCAGCGAAAGCGTTCGCCACCTACGTTCCTTCTCCCCTCACCGGTTCCGTTCCGAAAGGATATAAGGATGCCGTTAGTAGACCTGGGGGGGTTGGCGAATATTGGCAGAAATCGATGGAACGCGAGATTGCAGATTTGGAACGAAGGAACACTTGGACAATGATCCCACGTTCTGACGTCCCTTCTGGTGAGCCAGTGGCCCCCGGCCGCTGGGTTTATGTCGAAAAAGATCGCCCCCAGGATCCCAACGCGGATCCTGATGGTATATTACGAAAATCTCGATGGGTAGTGTGCGGTAATTGGTTAAAGAAAAGCGCACGCGAAGAAACATACGCGCCCGTCGTTAATGACGCTACTAATCGCATGATGTTCGCGATAGCAGCGAAGCGAGGTTGGACCTTGCGCCAGGTCGATATAGTGATGGCCTACCTACACGGCCGACTTGGTAAAACGATTTATATGCGGCAACCTACCGGATTTGAGGTGGGGACTCCACACGCGATGGTTTGCGCTGTCGGAGGCTCCCTATACGGATTGGACCCTGCTGCTAAGATTTGGTACGATTTCCTTACGGCATTACTCCGCGAGAATGGCTTCAAACCTAGCCCCTACGACCCTGCTCTATGGCGCCACACGTCCCGCAATCACCTTTATATGACAATCTACGTGGACGACCTTCATATTATAGCAGAGGATCCGGCAGATGCCGATTGGCTAGTTGACACCCTCGCCAACAAATTAGAAATAAAGGATTTAAAAGAACCTTCAAAATACTTAGGCATGGAGGTTGAACGTCGCCCTGATGGTGCTATAAAATTGACATTGAGACGCTATATCGATCGTTTAGTGCAAGATTTCCGCCTAGATGACGCCGTCCCTGTCCCTACGCCAATACTTGAAGGGTTGAAGATAGACGATACCCCTGTGTCAGAACGAGAAGGAGGGTTCACCAAAAAGCGATACCAACACGGAGTAGGGTGCTTGCAGTATCTGGCAGTCAAATTACGCCCAGATATTGCGCGAGCAGCATCCCTACTAGCGCAGAAGAATACTGCGCCTACACCTAAGGCGTGGAGGGCTCTCCTCCGCGTCATACAATATCTAAAAGGAACGAGCAACCTTGGCATCTTATACGAAGGCCCCAAGAACGAGATCGATGAATTCCCCAACGCGTCATATCTGCCGATAGGTTATACAGATTCGGATTGGGCAGGACCGTTGAACGGCGAACGCAAATCTACTTCAGGCTTCATATTCAAGTTAGCAGGTGCACCAATTTCATGGCGTTCGTCCAATGAGAAGATCAACCATCCCACAGCCTGCAACCTCAAAAATCGTAACCGAGCTGTCGAAGTCTCATTGCTGATTCATGTATTTTTCTTTGGACCAGGAAGTCCGCTCTTCTCCTCCTCTGGTACATACCTCCTCACTGGCTTAAACAAGGGTGTGGATCAGATAGTAACTGAGGAGTACAACAAAGCTCAAATGGAATTTATGAACATCTTGGCAGATGAAGAAGAGCGAGGTGACGGTGCGAGCAACACAATGAAACTATCGACTGTCATGAACCAGGTTTGGGAGATGGGGACATTTTGGTATAGCCTGGCCCTGTCTGTCCAGCCCGACTGGGCTTTTCACACTTTTTAGCAAAAAACTCCAACCATAACTAACTGGAAAATGTCCTGATCATGTTGCATTTCACCAAATCATGCCATGGTACTGGGCATGGGATACAGTGAGCATTGTAACACGCAAGCTCGCAGATAGACAGAATTACGATACTCGACTTCGGCAAGTGTTTGATGGAGACACTCACACAAATCAGAATTTCAACAACTCCTAATTTGGTCACTGCCTGGCCTCCTTGTTTGAACCCGTCTGGTTCTGCTCTGTGAGTCCTCTATGAATAGCTTCCTCGAGGCGAACTTGGCCTTTTCATTCTTAATCCTTGCTTGAAAACCTTTTGAAATCAATCGTGAGTATTGTGAAAGATTCATCGTACAATCAGGACGAACAAATGTCCGTATTTGATAATAGCGCGACTCAATAAACTGAGTTGACATCCTTGGACATTTGAGTTGGCCCATAGCAGTGGGCATTTGAACATTAATCCGGAGCAAGTTGATAAGTTGGGCGTTAATGGGTTAGCACATGAAAAAAACAGAACTACGCTCTCAAAGCCAATCAGGCGCGTCGGAACCAATGCAAAGCGCCCGTGACTCCAAAGGTGGAAGTGGCTATTGTGCCAAACTTCGTTGACATGGAAATATTTCCCTGGCTCAGGTTCCATTGAGTTCTCGTTGCATGATATCTGCCCTTCAACCCCAACTTGGTCTACATACTAAGGAGGGTAATGATCCCCATGAGCTTGCGAAGAATGTTATGAAGCCTATCCATGGTCCTGTTCCCAGCGAATTGAGTATTTGCCTGCTAACAACATACAGGAAGTGGCAGGCTAGCAGCTACAGAAACCGCGCTAGGGGAAAAATCTTGTGACTTTGGCGGATGCACCCTTTAAGGAAAATCCCGATCAAACTATGGGGGTAACGACGGACTAAATACTGTTTTACGGCATTCCAAAGCCCTGTTGTTCATGGTGCCAGTCGCTAGGACAAGTCCCGCATGTTGAAAGGAGGCCTTCCCCCCGAGGGATCATCTGGTAAACTCAGCAGCGCAGGTCATCGGATCCTCCGCTATGCCACCGAGGGCTTACCGCGCGTTGATCAAGCGCGGTACGAAGAAAGCAGAGCGCGGAGAATTGAGTAAGCCTTCATTACAGAGAGATCGATTCGCTCCTTATCAATCGAAACTCTCGAAATCCTCTTATAATATCTTATCCTTAAGCCCTCGTAATCTCTTGCGTAGATATCTTGCTTGTTGACCAACCAGATAACTATTTAAGCCTTATCTAACGGCTCCTCATACTAGTTATACCTTCACCTTCTTGTGTGGCGCTTCTGGGAATCCTCTAGGCGCCGCCATGTTATGATAGATTCTAAATCTTATTTTTATAACATATATTATTTCTATATGAGAATTTTCTTATAAAGGGATTAGTGTTGACATCATTCACTAGCTACTAGTAGTATTTATATACAGCATATTCTAGCAAAAAAGGTGTACTTTTAATCATAAATGTGCTATTTGGGGATTGCAATCTTGTAGGAAGGCTTTACGCTACGCCAAAGCACCAATCCTTAAGGTAGCCAGCCACCCGCTCCTCAAGATATATATATAAAACCTGGTCGTGGGGAAGCTACCTGGACAAGGCCCAGGGATCTCGACGCCTAATCACGTGCGGCGGGGCGGGCCGCTTGGCCAACGAACACGCGAGATTTAACCACTGCCTTGTCTGATCTGAGCTTCTTATCACTGAAAATTGAGATGTATAGTGCTTGAATTGCCATATATTGTCTACCACATCCTGTACAAGTAAGCAAGCAATAATTAAGAGTGTACGGACTCAGCATGACAGAGTTTACATTTACAAAATCATTCCTCTTGTCACTTGATTCACAATCTGTGAAGCTCCCCAGTGATCATGTCTTTGATCCCAGCAGCTTTGAGACTCCACATCCTGTAAGGAAAACCAATCCAGCTATAGAGTGTCTACGATCTGACTGTCCACAGTACACCCTCACCCGCCTCTCTGATCGCCACCCCCCGATGCCAAGGAAGATAAAGCAACCAACGATTCCGGGATCATCAAAGTCAATAAGAATTCATCTGAAGTCGGCCCGAAATCCAGCACTACATATTACCCTGGATAATTGCTCCATACCATCTACCTCAGTCGGGGAGCTCAAGGAAGTCGTCCAAGAGAGGGTCCAAGTGGGGAATGCGCGTGTGCCCCTGGATAGAATAAAGATATTGTGGAAGAGGAAACCTGTGCAAGGAGAGACAATAGCTGAGATTCTAGAAGGTGATTCTACAGTAATATCAGATGGAAGTGAGATTGAATTGGGTGTCATGATTCTTGGTGGTGCATCACTTATCTCTGCAACTCCCAGTGCAGGGGAAAGAAAACACTCAGAGAAATCATCAGAGACACTCTCTACTCAAGATCTGGTTGAAAATGATGCACGGAATGTGCTGGCAACTGAAGAGTTTTGGGATGATCTAGAGTCATTTGTGAAGACTAAAGTGAAGGACGCAGTGTGGGCATCCCAGATCAGATCTGTATTTAGAAAAGCATGGGTTTCGAGCAGGTAGTCAATGCATATTCGACATTCAGTCCACTGTATAATGGACAGCTTAATTGGTACAATTTTAACGGCATACCAAGAGGTTACTTCTTGTCCGTTTTGTCCACTCCATCTCGTCAACAACAACAGCAAACAAACAAGAAAGCAAAAAGAGAGATCCCCCAAATTGATTGAAGAGGGATCCTTCCACCAAGGATATGGGATATATCTATCTCGGAGGAGCATTGAGTAAGGCGCAGGTTGGTAAAGGAAGAGCTTCCAAGAGATCAGAGTTTCCAGGCGAAGGGTTGCAACTAATTTTATTCACTCTTCTATTATTACAGCAGCTCCTCTTCTCTCGGTTTCAACTACTAAGAACAGCGACAACCAGATACAGATGGCGAAGTCACTCTGGACTAATCCATACCAAACAAAACCAAGAAGCATATTTCTACAACGAATGCTACAACCAAGCTTCCCACCAACCCGTTAGCCATTGGAGACCTTCCCGTTGCCGAGGCAGAGTTTAGAGGGGCATTCGCTGCTGTTGTTGAGGCCGTGGGAGGAGGGACCGTTATTGTAACGTCCTTTGTCGAGCGTAATACTGTTTCTGCCGACGAAAGGTCGGTCGAGATAGTGGGCGCATTAGTCGTGCGAGTCGCGTCATCACCGCCGCTGTTGTTGCTTTTTGCTGAAGATGCAGTTGTGTCCGGGGAAAATGGCGCTGTCGGTTCCGGCGTATAGGTAGCCTTAATTCCATAGTTAGTTAGTGTCGTTAGTGCGGATGAAACCGTGCTTTGGAATACTGGCGCCGCTACTTGCTTTAAATTTTACTTCATTTTTGTCGTTTACGCTATATTCCACGCCGTTGAAGATGCAGACTGGATATATAGGTTTTCTGGAGGATATCTGGCCTGTTGTTTTTTGTTTTTTCCACCGGGTTTTCACACGGACATTAGCTTATTCTTTATTCTTTCATACATCGGCCCTATGTTTCGTCCTTTATATCATTTAGAATATTATTAGCCACCTACAGTATGCATCTTTCTTTGTGCCGACAGGGTCAATGTTTTTGAGCCTTGACTTTCGTTATTAGTATTTAATTTTTTTTCTCTTTCTCATTTTCTTTAATAAAACGTGGTTTCTTTCCCCCTGGATACATCACTTACACTTCGCGGCAGTCGATTTGTTTCGGACCTCCTTTTGCACACATTTTGATGAGGAATGGAACTGTTCCGTCTGGTGATTCTCCACAAGTGTCTTCTTTCCCCCCTAAACAATTAAGCCCATTCAAGAAATCCGGAAATGAATATCCAAGCCTTGAGTTGTATTTGTATCACAGTCAGAGGATTTCTTTCCACTATATCTTATCTTGGCTCTAGAGTACTTACAACTGTGCGATCGAAAGATGGCAAAGCAGCATCATGCTCACCAGCATCCGGGCTACTGACATCTTAGGCATTATGGGGGTCTTGACGAGACGCCAGAGACCAAACGAGATACTCAAATATTTTGAGATGCACAGAGGATGTCAAATAACGGAGCGAAGATAATAGATTGTGGCGTGATTAACAGCAGAGAGATATCTCAAATCAAGGTTCTCACTCACTCATAATGGACTTGAAAAGAGGGGGAAATAGAAATTTTTTGGCAATTAAAAACGATATCTTAGTACATTTATAAGGAGCCGGTTTTGAGAATGTGCCAAGGGCAAGCTGTGTGTTATTTCACTGTCTTTATACCAGGATGAATGCGTAGTTCCGGCTGTGTGTTGAAAGGAGGCGACATAATGCCCTTGATTTCATACATTTAAACCAAGGAGAAAAGAAAGAGGAAACGGTCAAACATTAGTGAGTTTCATTACTTTCATGACATTTGATACCAATTTTTATTTTTGGGTGATCTACCCGCATTGCCCAGCGGCAACCTACCGTCGACAAAGGTAGCCATGCAAGTTGCCCGTCATCATCTGAGTACGCCGAGAAAGGATTTGCACATGCCTCGCACCACTGTAGAATAGACCATAGAAGTTCAATTCCTTCAAGCACGAAGTGAAAATGTACCTCAATGTTAAGGTTAATTTAGCCCCACAAACCAACGGCAAACGGAGTCATCTGCAAAAATCAATCCTCGAGTTATCATGGCAAAAGCGGGATGCTGCATAATTGGTCTCGTTGGTACCTAAAATTAGGTAGCTAGTAACGATATTGACCAGCGAGAGTACCGTATCGGCCAGGATGTTCACTGAACGTAAAAAGAGCAAATCCAAAAAGATTTATCCGGGCTATGTCTTCGGCCCATGGGAACCGTGCTGAAGATTGTGTCCATGAAAAATAAAAAGTCCCATCCCTGTAAAACGCCATAACAAAACCAGTTTGCCCATTCATCTAATAATTGAATACTTTCGTGCGTAGGTAAAAGTTCCTGTTAGACATTTCCTCGTTTTTCCCTCCACTTCTTCAGTCTCCGTTTTATGTCCCCCTCCGTTTGCTGCATAGGGTTCAATCTCGTATCCCTAACCATGGCAATGATATTATCGCCATGCTTTGCCACCAGTCTCTCTAACCATTCCTCCTCGCGCTTGCTCTGCTGTCTAGGCTGCTTCTTCTTCAACGCCTCCTCTTCCAAAGCAGCCTGACGCTCCAGCGCTTGAACTACTGCCGACGACGTGCTGCTTCCATGAATTCTCAAAGCTGTATTATTAAGGACATCATCCCCAACTTCATTGAGCGGATCTTCTAGCGGATTTGCTCTCCGATGCTTTCTTCCAGCAATTTCCACCTCCTCGGTTTCGTTCTCAGGGTGGATCACGCGGAGAATCTTCCCCGTTGCCGGATCTCGTTCGACACGCATCTCTGCAGGTTTTATCATCTTCACACTTGCCAGGGAGGGTAGGAGATGTAAAGAGTCTGCTTCCTGCCGGCCATTTGACGGGTCGTCAGGTTTGTTCTCCGCTCCGCCAGTTGGGGCGTTGAGCTGGGACGCTAAGCCGAGTCGGCGGTAATTTTGGGTCAGAGTTAATTTTTTATCCCTGTGAAATGTTAGATTGTTATAGAAGTGTAAAAAGCAGATTTTTGGCAAGGAGCTATGTAAAAGGATGTGCTATTTACCAATTCTGCGCGATGATTGCGTTCCCGAGGACATTGATTTTCTTGTTGCCATTTTTCAGGCGGTTGGACTTTTGCTTCACCCTTGGAGCACCTGAGCGATTCTTCTTTTTTTGTAGAATTCGGCCCATATCAAAACCAGGGGACTCTAGGGGAGCCACTTGTAGCTGTTTGTCCTGACGTCGAAATAATTTTTTGAGCAAATCTGAAAGTCGATGTTTGCACTAATTCTTGGCATATTTGCATTTCTCCTCACATGAATTTTAGGCCAAAAGAGGAAATAATGTCACGTGGAGTGCTCGAACCCTACACCACAATTCGCTTAGCGACTTCTGGCTGCGAGGAAAACTTTCGATCCAAACGTCCAGCGACAACGACGGCGATAACGACAAACGCTTGTAGACGCAGCATTCCAGGTGAGGATACTATCGCCATTGTATTTGCATTCTTACGCCTCACAATTACTGACAGTCCTTGAATTCTAGTCCCTAATTCAAGATGAGTACGTCCCGATACAACCACCGCGTCCCCAAAACCTGCTACTCCTCACCAATTCGTCCTTTAACTATTATGGTTAACTAACATATTGAATAGCGAAGGGAACTTCTAGCTTCGGCAAGCGCCATAACAAGACGCATACCCTGTGCAGACGTTGCGGTTAGTCTGATCTCTTGGAATCCGTTTGTTAACGAAGCTTTTGGATACCCATCCCATTTTGGTTCCAGGGATATTTCAGGCAAGAGAATGATGAACTGAACAATATTTGGGACAATTGGGAATAGGCCGTCGCTCTCTCCACATCCAGAAGCACACATGTTCATCTTGCGGATATCCATCCGCTAAGACTCGGAAATGTACGTGTTTTTGAACCCCAGTATTGAATCCATTCGACCCATTCGAGAAGGGAGGCATTTGCAGTCGCTCCGGGGGAGGGGGGGCGGGGGAATACCAATGTGGAATGTAGAAAGCAGATTGGGAAAATTATATTTTTACTTACTTAGATGATTCTGCCTTCAATAGACAACTGGGCTGAAAAGTCTTTGCGACGAAGAACCACCGGAAGTGGACGCATGCGATATCTCAAAACGGTCGACCGCAAATTCAAGAACGGATTCCAAACCGGTGCTCCGAAGGGAGCTCGAGGGCCAGAGAAGCATTAAGGTCATGTGTGGGTTGAAAAGACGGCTTCCAACGACAATGCGGGCTAAGGGTTGAATTATTATTTTCCTTTTCCTTGTGGATGGCCGGGTTGATTTCTTGTAACGGCTCAGGGGTGTTTTAACTGTTATTTTTTTTGTTAGCGTGCTATCAACATTCGAACAAAAGAGAAACAACCTATTTTGCCCAATGGGAAATCGCGGGGATAGAAAAGGAACGTGGCATGCGCCTTGTGCATGACTAGTTTAATGACATGATGCCTGCCGTCAATGTGTTTCTTTTAACATCAACAATTCTTGTTAGACTTGGAACTTTTTAAGTTGCCCCTACATGTTATTCCTCAATCGGTCCGCTTCATTGGCCCTCTTTCCTTCTCCAACGGTTTTATGATTCATTCAATGCTTTCAACAGGAGATTCAAATGCTGGACCAAAATTTACACTGAATTTATACGAATTTCAATCCATGGCCAATAACTTCACTCGCCTCTCTCGAAAACGCGAGCCGCACCATCTCCTTGTACAAAATATAATACCTCCTTCTCTTCTAAGCTTGAATGGTCATGGCTCTGATCTTTATTTACAATCCCTACTTCTGGAACCCATCCACCCCCTCTACTAATCCGTAGCACTCCGCTGACATCACCAGCAACACCCGTATCCAAACCTCTCAGTTGCATAACCATCCTAGCTTGATGCGCCATCCCCACAACTAAGGATGCATGCTCCCAAATCAAGCGGTGTTGGCTGTTGGTGTGTAGACTCGACCGTTAATCGCGTGTATCAGAGGTGAATCGGCTGCAAGTG